GCAGACTTGAAGCAATGAAGAAGACAGAAATGAACCAACCATTTTGTCTGGTTTTGTTTTAAGTGAATCCTCTGTTCACCTCAATATTAATTTAAATGCTGACATGTTGTTTCCAGAGAAACAACAATTAATAAAACAACAATTAGTTGTTTTACTAATAAGTAAAGGTTTAATTGTGGTTTAAAAAACAGTGCTATCTTAGCACTTTGTTGTCTTGTAATAGCACCAACCAACACTGCTTTCTATCAGCTTTCATTGCTGCTCACCTGCCTCTTCTACTAGATTACAGGCTATGAGTCTTACTCATTACTTTATCCTCTTTATCCTTACTCATTACTTTACTGTGCTATATCCTTAGCACAGTGCTTTGCACACTGTAGCTGCTGGATAAAGTGTTTATTGAGCTGGCTGCTGTTAATGTCAGCTTGTTTTTATTTTGATGTACAACAGCAGGAAAGAAGCAGCAATGAAATAAGTCTTCATAGTTTACAAAATGCAACTCCACATGCTCAATGGTCATAATTTACAAACACTGGCACTATCTGTCCCAATTACATTACAGAAAATTCTGTCCTGAGAAACTAACAAGATAATATCAAGTCTAAAAATAAGAAAAGGAATTCATTTTATTTTGTTCCCGTACATTGTTTCTTTTCAGAGGTTTACGTTTGTTCCATGGAGTCTAAGTGAATAATCATGTTACTGGAAGTAAATCATTTTAGATATATCACTAAGTAATTTTGCCAATGGATATTACAGTCTCAATTTAACATTATTACTATTTGATAACATGATGTGTTTGAAACTCTTTACAAACTGTCATTAAGTCCCCAGAGAACATGATGTCTGAGATAATTTTGGAAACACAAGCTAGGCACTCAGAAACCAAATGAGCCAAGAGCCTTTTAAATTTAAACCTTTGTCCTTTGCAGTTGCCAGGGGCTCAAATGGGCAGAAGTCCTTTTAGCCAGATGATTAACTCAGGCATATCACATGTAGACTTCCTGACCTCCTTAATGTTTTGAATTTTTAAGCAGAGAGAACAGCAGAGATCATGTTGGACATCTTCACCAACAATGATGGCGAAATGCTTGGATGTGTCAATATTTACTTTAGTGGCTGAGTTCACTTTGTAAGCATTATTACAAACTGGCAATTTTATCAATCATTCACTCCATCATCACTGAGGAAAGGTCGACGTTCTGCTCATCAATGTTCAATCTCTGGTGACATAAATACACTGTTTCTGCTTTCAACAAGGCCTAGTCCAGCTAAATGTAATCAGATGTACTGGTGCTGTGACTAAAATGTGTGTAAGGGATAGCACAGGGACAAGATGAACAGGATCATGTAAGGGGGTGCTATGAGTAAGGAGATAACGCTCAAGTTGAATCACACCATGTGTTGGTTTCTGTTAAATGAACAGGGCAGAAAGGGTGGCCCTGGTAAGGGATAAGGAGGAGGAAGAGATGCAGCGATGACTTTACAGTAATTCCTACAGGTGGAGATTTGGGGCAATGCTGTGGGGTAGCGTGACTCTAAAGGAATTCTGGAGTGCTGTTACAGGGAGGTACGCAGAGCCCTGTACACGCTTCATGAGATGGGCAAAACAAACATATGGAAAGGTTTTCATCAGAAAATGACATGACTCAATTTGTGTCCTTAAAAGCTCTCTAAGGCAGTAGCACAGAGAGTTAGCTGAAGGACTGTGAGATGATTGATGATAAGATTAGGAAAATATTATCATCACTCTGGTGAACAATGAGAAATGTCTGAATTAGGGCATGACAATGGAGGTGGTTCAGATGGAGATCCACACCCCCTCATGCCTATAAAATATTTAACTAGCAGTTGGTGGATGTAAACTTTTTTTTTTTTTTTTTTGGATGGGATTTGAAGTAGGTATCACTGTAGATATCAGATATGATAGAAAGGTATTGGTCTAGGATGATAAACCCCTGGTTTCTGTCTTGGTAGCAATAAGATAGAAGTTGGAAACTAGGGGGATCAAGGGAGAAATATGATAAGTTTTTTCTCAAAAAGGCAAATGCTGTGTTTGTAGGGTCAACGGAACACCTGCATGGAGATGTTTCATCGACAGCTAGACATTTGGATCTGGAGTGCAGCAAACAGACCTGGGCCAGATACACGTATTCAGTGGTCATAATGGTAGTAGAAGATGCAAATAAGTATACGAGTTTGCCCGGTGAGAGCATGTGGAGTGAGAAAAGGAAAAAGTCCTGAAGTTTACTATTTGGCTAATTGACTGAATTTATTTAAATTAATTGCTGCCTTGAAAATTTAATGCATCATCATTTCTCTATAATACCCTACAATATAACCCTACTATAATCAATAGCTTTTCTCATCTCTGCTTCATCTTCTGTGGATATGGACACCTGTTTGTCCTGCAAGACCCTAGGAGTGAGGACTTGAGCATCTGAAAATGTAATTCTCTGAGTTAACTGCAGGTTACATGAATAAAGTAGAAGCAGTAGATGTTATCTGCCTGAACATACACAGTGAGGACTTGAACTTGATGCTATATAAAAAAGGAAAGAAAACATAGTGACTTTATTGCTATTAAGCAGGTTCAAGTTAAGTCAAAAACTTTCACTATAAGAAAACTCAATAAAATAGGAAGAACTTTTATTATGCTGTAATCTACAGGGTACAGTCCTAATGATTTAATGCAATCACTGTCAAAAGTACTTCCAATATTTTGGAAGACAAACACTACATTTTAAAGCTAAATTGCCAAATTAAAGACATCACCTTGTAAAAAAATTTCACAAAATTCAATATAAGCAAGTATGAGTCAACACAAAAAGGAACAAACACTAACGCAGGGGTTCTGACTTGAGAAGGGGGCGTGGGACTTAAAAAGAATACCAATACCTGGGTCCCCACCTACAGGTATGTACATCACAATCTAGGGTGGTGTAGAGCTGGGGAATCAGTATTATTTCTTGTTTTTTTAAACTTTATTTAATTTATTTTTTATACAGCAGGTTCTTATTAGTTATCTATTTTATACATATTAGTGTATATATGTCAATCCTAACCTCCCAATTCATCCCACCACACCCCCGGCCCGCCACTTTCCCCCCTTGCTGTCCATATGTTTGTTCTCTACATGTGTGTCTCTGTTTCTGCCCCAGGTGACTCTAAAGTGCAGCCTGAGTTTTGAACCCTTGTACTCAGCATACAGGTAGAAGATGGGGAAGGAAAGAAAAACTAGCGTGGTATGACAGAGAAGACCTTATACATCATATTGCACTTGTGATTAACAGTCAGAAGCTCATAGAAAGGATCCAAAAAGTACTACTGAGCTATGCATGCTACTGAGCAAATATTCATTCAAATATTATATACAATTGTCACTTTCGATTATCTATAGTAAAGAGAAAAAGACTCAGAGAAAGTCAACACATACGATAAAAAGGAATGAAAACTGCACACCATATTACAAAATGATTATGGAGCTGGGACTGTATTAACTTCTAAAGAAAACATCAAGCAATAATTCAACAACTATTTTTAAAATTATGAAGAAATCTTCTGGTGTCAGGTGGGTGCAGGTTATATTAGCTATTTTCAGAAAGAATATTCGATGATATTTGTATGTAGATATTTTACTCAGTGCTAACAACCATTAAGTGTAACTATATGTAGTTTTAAAGAAATAAAAATATTCAGACTTATAAGGATTCTCAGATTATAAATTTTCCCACAGGATACTATTTTTGATGACTTTTTGTTTGTTTCTAGAGATAGGACTGATAACCGATTATAACACAAACCATATGTGCTCATTCTCCATCTTTCTTTCCCACCTGGGACACTAAACATTCTGTGACATTTGCTGTCTCATTTTTAGCACCAGACAATATAACATTTGCTCCAGTGTAAACACAGAGGTCAGCAAAAGAAATCAATCTCTTTCTCAGGGTACCTTAAGGGCTCAAAATGTCGTACAGGGATTGAAATAAACCGGCATTTCCATATTAGGAATTTTGTCCAACCTGGATTTGGTTTACTAATAGAAGAGTCCTGTTATCAAATAGTCCTTCTGCACTTTGTACCTTTCTTGGCACATTTTCCTCCTGGTGATACAGTTTATTATAACATGTCTTTCATACCCTCTGCTGCTGTAATGTAATGTAATACAATCAAAGTTCACCTTTGATTCTCCCAGTTCCCAATGACACCTGGACTTGGTATGGTATTGTGTCAGTTACCACAAAAATCAAACTAGTATATTTACTTTTCACTTGCTCACTCATTCATTAATTTAGTTTTAACTGAAAACCTCCTATGTGTTCAGCACTGTGCTGAATGGTCCCTTGCTCTCTAGGAGCTAAAAGCACAAGCAGTTCTAGGGATTTAAGTGCGTAAACACTTATGTTGATAAATATGTTAGACACATCCATTTAACTGAAAAATGAACATTAAACTAATAGTTACTACAATGTACTAATGCCACTAGTAAGCAGAGATTAAGAGCATTTGAAAACTACGAATGAGAGTGATTCCTGATATCTCTATATTTGGCTACCACAAGGTTGACAGAAGTGTTACCTGGAGCAATCTAGGAAGGGCATGGAGCTACAGGATGATGGACCGATAGAAAACAGGTGGGGCTGAGGGCAGATGATAATGCGTGTACAGTAATACAGCCTCAGAGAAGGCTTGCAGGAGCTATGGATTACTTAGGCTAAGGTGTTCTTGAGAGCCCTGTCCACAAACAAATTAAAGGGGACAGACAATCATATGAGAAGAAACCGAAGGTAGTCTAAGGACACCTTAATGAAAAAAGTTTAAATTTTGATTAAATCCCTGACTCATCTTTGGTACATTCTTAGATGCTCTTGAAAGTACTCGATAGAAAGAGAACGTGACACCTTGTAACATTATCCTAAGCCAGGTTCTTTCTCTTAATCCGACAAAGGCCCTCTTCTGAATGAACATATTTTTAGAAAAAACTGGAATATACATACTCATCCTTGTCCACCTTTTCTCGAAGCTTCTTTAGCTGTTTATTTTGGCTGAACTTCAAGTTTTGAATTATGTTCTCAAAGTATTCGTCTTCCCTGTAGCTCAACTATAGTAATTTAAAAGATTTGGGGAAAAATATTAAAACCGCTATCTTCAAAGTTTTTGCTAAATAACATTAAGAGATATTTTCTTACAATCTATCACTTAATAAAGTTAACAGAGAACATCAAAACTTGCCAAAGAAAAGTTAAGTTCCAACCAGCTTAGTTCTATATTACAGATCACTGCTGCGCTGGCTGAATCACTACTTCAGTCTATTCTTTTGTAATTAATCAAATGAAACTAAATGTCAAACAAGCTTTTCTATATTGATATTAATCCTTACAGGAAGACAAGATAAAAGCATTCATATTTAGTACCTACTATGTTATAAGAACTTCATATATCACATTTTTTAATCCCCATAATAAGCTGATGAAGATGGGCTGTTACCAGCATTTTAAAGCTGAGGAGACTGAAGCACAATTAAGTCACTTGCCCAAGTTAATGAGTGATGGAGCTGAGATTTGAATACCTAGGAGTCTGACTTTGAGCTTATGCTCTTAGCCAGCTAGTGAGAGGTGTAGCTGAGATCTGAACCCAAGCAATTCAGCGGTGAGACTATGTGCTCAGCCACTAGACTCCTGCCACAAGGGCCCCGGGGACTCACATGCTACAGCCAGCTCATTTTATAAAAAGTCAAGCTTTTCTGCAAATGGAAAAAGAAAAGAGGACACTGTGCCTTGCAAACTCCCATGTTACGCTAGTAATCAACAGATTAGGAATCGCTGTCATCCCCAGATCTAGGCAAGGGTCACCTTGTCACCAGGGTTTCAAGTAGTTGTGGTGACTGCAAGGTTAACGACAGGACCTTTAGCTGAGTCTGAAATCAATACTGTAGTGACTTCAATCAACTCTGTTTTCTTTTCATTGTTACATTACCAAAGGGGAATAAAATAGTTCCCCATTCTCAAATAGTAGATTTTTTTTCAAATAGAGAAGGCATGACTTGGTTTACCCAGTGGAGGAATAATTAGAAAGTGGAAGGAAAGCTGAAGATTTGACTTTCAGGCGTGTATAAAATGAGATAAGAAGCCTGAGGGCTGCCTGTTCATCACTTAAATGTCTATGTCTTAACGCTCTTTAAAAAACACCAGATTTTTATCACTAATCTTAAAATGGAATATATGGAAAGCAAAATAACAAAACCAAATACAGACCAGCCCATGAAACAATAGGTTAAAATTAAAACAAACATAGTTCTGGCTTCAGTGTTAAAGGCTTAATATCAATATAATAAGACCTCTGGGTGTAGGCTATTTCACATAATTTCTGGCCCTCATAGCTAGAAATGACATTGCCACCAGCCCCAGGCATCATCAGTGCAGTCTTTATAAAGACTTACCTCAAGGTATTCATTATTCAGTTTGTTGTCATTTGAAATAATGTCATCAGGATAGCCGATCCTTTCTTTAATTGCTAAGGCCTATGAAAATTAGAATATTGAATGTGAGCATGATTATGAACTTCCAAATGCGAACTTCATAATTTGCCCTTGACAGCAGCTGAATAACCTGATCCATACTGTTTACAAGACGAGTGTCTGACAACGTTTAAACAGAGATCTTTGCATTGGCTTTTTCCTGGAGTTCAAAATAAACAAAAAATAGTTCTGAAATTTAGCTTCTAATACCCTATTCTCATAGGCTACAGCTTTCCCAAGAAAACCAAAATGAAAACTGACAAGTCATTGTTCCACATGTATTGTACTTTTATGAACTTTTTCTCTGAAAGGCTTTTTTCTTCAATTTTACAGGAGGGGTAATATTTAGAACTGCCATTCTAGCAGCTTATAATTATCTTTCCACTTCACTGATTTGGCTGAGAAAACAGATGTGGGCTTACAGGTTTAATGCTAATATTCTTCCTAAGTATTGGTTCCTGGAGTTTTTATGTTCTCCTTTGGTCTCCAGAGCTAGTGTACCTAACTTCCCACAGTTAAATGAATGACATTAGTTAAACAAGTAGAAAACAGCGTTTTCCTTGTTATACCATCTCATATTTACCACTACCTTACTACTATTTCTATTATTTTAAAATTGTTTACTTATTGTAATTATTTCATCAGTAGCACTTATTTACTACTTGCTATTCCTATTTCTATTTCTCTCATTTTTCTCAAAGATAGTTGACTTTTGATTTTATCATATCACATTGCTCTTAAATAATTTAACTAATTTAATATTTTCATGGGATATTAAGCTTGCATCTCTGAATTATTTGTTTTACCATCAAATGGATGTGGTTTTGTTACAAATCTGTTTTATAAGCTTAGGATTTCCCCAGTGGATCAGACAGATGTGTCACTAAATCAGTTTGGCCAAGCCCATTTCCTTTCCATACTATCAGCCCATAACGAATCATCTCCCTCTCAATGGCACTTTATTTTCTAGAAGATATTTCCCCAAAAGGTGTTCTAAGGGATACAAAATCTACAGAAATAGGAGGTACTACATGAAAAGGATACATTGTCAAATATTTGGGGTAAATACTGTGACAAAAACGTTAAGCAGGCTTCTTCATTGAAAGACTACTTAGAGTTTAAAATTAAGTAATTGTAAGTGTCCAATGGGATGAATTAATTTGTCTATTTATTCATTCAATTTGTCTTCAAGGGTATACAACAAGCCAGGTACTTTGTAAGAGGCTGAGGATACAATGCTAGGCAAAAATTTCTACCCCTGGAGAGTTTACTATAAAGGTCAATGGCAGGCAATAAAATGAATATTAGCTCTCAAGTGTGATGTATGGTGCCATAAGATCACACCCTACAGGTATATAACGTAGTCGAGGGTGGGATCAGGGAAGCCTTCCTGCAGGAAATGTTTCCCAAACTCTTTATGACCATGGGAATCTTTCATAGAGCTACTTGGCAGGTCCAGAGTTTCATGACACCACCTTGGGAAATGATTACCTAGAACAATTTGATTGGCTACCATCAAATAGTACCATGTTGTGATAGCTAGAACATGAAAGCAGCAAATCCAGCCTGAACTTCTGAGGACCTACAGAATGATGGAAAGACAGCTATATTGGGGTGCCAAATTCTAGACCTGACCCACTCAGGGCTCTGTGATAGCTGAAAAAGATAATCCTTCCACGTGATCTAATCCTGAAAGAGAACTAGACTACAGTTTGATTCTCTTATTATAATAGATTTATGGACTCTTTCTGTGTTAGTTCAAAGAATGGTCTGTTCTTCCTGTTACCCTAACTACAGAGGAATAATCAGGCTGCATGTGAATACTGCTCATAAACACATACAGTTTTCACTGGACATGTTCCTTTTAGGTTTATATAGTTATCAACACAATGGCATAGTAAATTTAAACCTGAGATTTCCTTAGACATCTCACTTTTATTCTAATGCAAGATACTAAGAGTCCCAATAAAAAGTGCACAATGGGGGTAAATAAGAATAGTTATAAAAAGCTCCTTCAACATCCCTCTAACTGTAGGTCACCTTATAGTACTCAAATAATGCACTACCTCACATTTGCTTGAATAGAAATTTAGTATTTTTCTCCCTAGGTCATTTTAAAAAAAAAACTAAATAGTGCATGCTTAAAAAAAAATTTAGCTAGAAATTTACATTAAAGATTAGGGGATATTTTTAGATATTGGTAGAGGTCTTTTAAATATTTTTCATAAAAGGAGGAAAAATATGAACCACTGATAATATCTTTTAATGCTTTCTTGTTCACACAAGATTTTCCTCTTGTTTTGTGAAGACTTCCTTTAAAAAAAAAAAAAGGAAAACTGGAGATCTTTCAAAGTTTTGAGCCAAAGATGGAGAGTAAGAGCTAGTTACAAAGAGATAATAAAAGATGAAAATCATAGGAAAAAAAATCTTCATCCATGAAAAGTCTTCCTGGACACATTACATCTTGAAGGAGCTTGCTTTTATTTTACGCAATCTTTGAATACTATGTTTTCCCCAAATTTCTTAAAAGCTAATCTTATAGATTTTTCTTTGATAATTCGCCCTGCCTTGCTCTTTACCTTTTCTTCAGCTTTCTTTTTCGTTTCAGCATCCATCCAAGTAAGGTCATCTAAAGTCTGAATAAAAACTTCCCGGATCTGTGCAATTAAATCCTCAACCTTAAACCAAAAGAACAGAAGGCAAATTTAGGCCATGAATTAATTTTTTCTAACACAAATTTAAAAAAAAATAGAGCTATAAGCTATCTTTATGTGATTCAATGATATGTTAATAAATGTAAATTTATAAACAAACTGGTGATCTAAACAAATGGATATATGTGGGTAATTATATTTTTAAAGCAACACTGCTACTATCAACACTAATGATTAAATAGGTCTTAATGCATACATTAATAAAAATCATCTTCAGAATGTATGGGTTCCATTATCACGAAAGACCAACTAACATAAAATACTGTCATTACTATTAGTAGTTTAGTTAAGCATGAGGTAGCATTTCAATAGATTCTTTCACCATGTCTTTAAGTTCCCTTGTCTTCATTTCAGTAACAATAAAAAATAAAGTACATGTCTTACACTTCAAATAAACCCTGGTTTACTTTCCGGCTTTTAAGAAAATACTAATTCTTAGTCAATTTTGATAACAGAAGAGATTACAAATGACTATATCATTAGAACACGTGACTGGGTATTGTGAATACATTGCTTCTGGAAAATGGACAATTGGTTTTGGGTTAAACAATATTAGGATCAGAAACATAACCAGACCCATGGGGGAGGGAGAATAAGATTTATTGGGAAAGAATGGCAAATTGTGATTCAGAAGTTCTCTGCCAATTAATAAAATTTTAACCAAATGATGGACTATTGTAATTGCCCATCATTGCAAACACATGCTGATAGAGTATTGTGCAGAAAACATTACCACATGTTTACTGTCTCCAGGAAATGCCGCTTCCACATAGAGCCTTCCCACAGCATTTTCCATATTCCCATTGACATAGTTTGCACAACGTCTCCAAGTCGCTGTTTCTGATGTTGTGCCATAAAGAGCCTATGGGAGAGAAAAAGGAAATGGCATTTGACCAGGAGTAGATGGCCGAAGTGTGGTAAGAGCACAAATTTCACAGGACTCTGTTCTTTATGTCTCCTAAATTCTTGCAATATTCATTGCTTCTCCTCACATGTCAGGATGTCCTTGCATAGGATAAAATGTAATCCAATTGAATTATTACTTACTATGATCTGGAAATAAGGTATATTTTCAGTAGCACGTCCTAGAAAAACTGTTGGCTATTGCAAGTTAATATCTTTCTAGACAGGGTTAGAAACAACAACCCTCTCCACCAAACAAACAAAGTAACACTGTTGCCACTGTATAAACATAAATGTGAAGTAATATTCAATAAATGTAACAGGGGAGAGATCTGGTATACAAGAAAACACATTCCTGTTTTCTAAAGTTTTTGCTGAAGTTCCAGTACTTAGAAGAACTGCATGTGTACAAATTTAAGAACCAATAAGCGGATTAACTTACGGAAGGGAAATTTAGCAAAACACCATTTTTACATTCTCTAATTTAAAAAATATGTCTACATTTTCTTTTAAAAGGTAAAAACTAAAAATCTCAATCAATCAGGGAGTTATTTCCTTTCCGTGACACCAACCAATACATTTGTGAGAATTTCTCCTTCCTCAATCCCTCCTGCCCTCTCCCCTCACAATAGGACGAAAATGATGATTCTTTAAATAATGCAGGTACAGTCTAATAAAAGGTCTTAAGGCTATCTCCAGGTAGGTATATTCTCAGGGGATTGTCCACATCAATGTAGTCCAACTGTCTGAATGTCTAGTATGTTATAAGCACCAGAAAAATCAAATTAATTGAGGTAGATACCCCTGAAATTACTTTGAACACAACAAAAAAGCAAGCTAGTATTCTTCCATGAACTGCTCAAATAACCAATACGTGCCCTTCCCGGGCAATTCAATCACGGTGCCAGAGTAGACAATCACAGGACCACAGAGCACCTGAAAGCTGGCTTTCCTAGGCAACGTGGCTTAAATACAGGCAACATACCCAGCATTTGGCATTTTGTCTCTTGGCAAAGTTTACCACTTCTCGTAATGTACATGGCAAGCCTTTATAACCATGGATCGCTTTATGCTTTAAGTCTTAAGAAAAGAGAGATTTTTTCTTCACCTTGCGGAAAGCATTTCTGGACTCCTTGTAGGTTCGGCTGAGGCTGCTTACAAGATCCATTATGAACCGCCAGGACATTAAATTTTGAAGATCTCTGCATAAAAAAACCCACCACCCAGCAACAGAAAAGATGAGGCTGCAAAGCTTCTAAAGAGTGATATTAAATGTAAACTTTGGGAACATGGGCACTCTGACATACCTACCTGTCAGAATATTTGGTAAGAATGAGCTTAAGTTTGGTTAAATATTCTGGAGCATAAACAACCACATCTTCCTCATTTGGAATATTAATATTCACAGTTGACATGATTTCATTTGTGAAATTTGACCAGCTGAATGGCTGGAAAAAAGCAGGCACAAAACATTGAGTAATTATGGATTTCTCTTCTTGGTTCCAAGACTCAGTTATGGTTATAGGGTCAGACATGGTTACAGTGTCAGTTGCATCACTATATAATTATCACAATAGTCAGTTTGATATCTGTTTGGGATTTTTCTCTAATTGCTTCAATCAATTTTTGAATAAAAATTAGTTCTGTAGCATAATTATTTAAATAAAAGAATTAAACCAACCATTTAAAAGCAAAAGCAAAGCTTCTAAGTGTAGTGAACATATGCTAGAAATTAGGCTCAGTGTCAAATTCTTGGTCTAACCAATATGAAAGAAAAAGAAAAAGAAAAAGAAATTTAGCTGTAAACATTAAGTTTCCTAGGTTTATGCAAAAATTTAAATGGGTATAAAATGTTTATCTCTTAAAGGTGGATATTAATAAACAATCCATTTGAACACAGTAATACATCTCAGTGGAGCTCGTGTTGTAAATGAAAGTACACTGTTGTCCTAGCAGAGGTATAGTAAATGTATAGATACAACACAGATGGTCCAATGAAGATGAACAAAATGTACTTTAAGCTATCAATATCAGGTCTACAGGCATGCAGTTCTCACACTTCAGAAGCTGGATTTGGAGTTGCCATAAGATGGAGTCTTATCTATTATTCTTTAAATGGGAATTGTGGTTATTCAACCACCAATGGATATAAGAAAAAACAGCGGAAGTGGAGATTATGCAGATCTTGCTGAAATGCCACATTTCAATGTTTGAGAATGTTTAAGATTACCAATAACTTAGGCTCTGTAATTTTATATATATATGCCTAGAAGTATATAAATACACTGATCACTTACTAATCACTTACTAAGTGTGAGATGCTATGTACTTTTCTTGATTTCCTTTGGCAGTTTGGCCCATTATTTCAAAACATATTTATTAAACACTTATTATATTAAAAAGCTCTATGTAAGAAATTCCTAACTCAGTAGGTTATGCCTTTAAAAAGTCCTTGTTTTCAGCAATTAGTGACAAAGAGAATTCCATCACTGAATGTGGTAATTTGTAGATTTTTCCATGAATGTTGCTTCATTACCTGATTGTGTGCATCAACTAATACATAGAATACATTCATAGCCTTAAAAGAGATTATTAAATACTAGCTAAGGAATTACAACTAAGCAAAAAGATGTCAACTGATGTTTATAAATGGAACCTATAGATTTTTCTGTTTCTTGTGTTCTATTTCTCCATTATTGCTCTGAACACCTCCATAGATGGCCTTGATGAGAACATGGCAAGTTCTATGAATAAATTATCCTTTTTCGGAGTTAAAAAGAAATCTGGTACTTATATTATTTGACTGTCCAAGTCCAATGGCTATATAATGGTCCTTCAGAAGGATTTTTGCTTTTAATGTTTCCAAACCCTTTTCTATGATAATTTCTAATATTATTACATAGCTGCCTTGAAAGGACTTTTACCTTTGAAATTCACTCTAATTAAATATAAATATAATTATGTCAAATAGTTTTTTTTCAAGTTTTTTTCATGAAGTCAAATGGTTGATGTCGTCTAAATTCATTTTGATGTTCAATTTATTTCAATAAATTAAAAAATCATTAAATTTTAACAAACTGCATTTTAATATTATAATTTTAGAAAATGGCACAATAAGAGAGTACATAAAACTGCTACTTACCTTCCCACTGATCTCTAGTGAAAAGTTATTTTGGATCTGGGCTAATGTCATTTTGTTATAAAGAAGCATTGGATCATTTCGATCTTCAGATTTAGTTGTAGCCTATGGATTTAATTTCTTATCATTATTTTAGATCAAGAACTCTTTAGAAAAATATAACTATATACAAGGGAAAAAGAAATATGGCATAGGTACAACATAATTATATTTAAGTTCTATTCTGTATTTGTGTTATAATTTATTGTGTCCTATCAAGAAGAAGAGAGAAATAGAACAGATTTTAAGTATATTCAGTAACAATTATCAAGATTTGGCTGCAGTGTCAAGTATAAAATTTTTCAAAAATTGTTTTATATTTTCATAACTGCCAAACCACATCAACAATATTTACAGGCCTCTTTCCTTCTATGGCCAAATGGGCAGCTCAGTTGTGTCTGTGGCTATTTCATATGATAATGACTTGAATATAGTCATTTCCAGTTTCTCTCTCAAATACTCTTTCTCTCACCTACCACCATTCAGTGTCCCAGTTAAAATTCCGACAGGAAAAAGAGTAGAAAAAAGCACAATGATTTCTACAAGAATTTAAAGCAAGTAAGACTGAGAAAATTCCTAGTACTTAACACAGGTAGGTGGCAAATTATCTGAAGTGAGTTCTAGCATCTACTTTTGTGACTGTCTGCTCATCTGGCCTAATGAGTTCAGTGTTATCAACAGCATCCAGTATTATTTTTTTTCATTGAATCAAAAAAGAAAATTTCAATAACAACTGCCCAACTAGTGGCTGAAAGAAGTAAAAGCAATTTTAAGTGAAAAGAAACAAAATGTAAAAATGGGAATTATTTCTCAAGTGACAACGGCTCCAATTTCCCCTTTAGGTCACTTTTTCATTCATTTAAAAATTATGTTTGTAACATCTGCACGCAATAACGTGCTGGACACTGTTAGAGACACATAGGTGATTCAGGGAGGACTGAGACCCCATTACAATCTCAGAGTGTCAGAGGGGAGACAAAATGAAGACACGAAGAATTCTGAGGTAAGATACAACTACTACAGAAGCCGAGGCTGATCAAAGGAGAACACGGTCTCGCAAGGTGCCAGAGGTAAAAACCCAGGGTAATAAACTGTTCTCTAAAAATTCTGTTTCCAACATAGAACCACATGTAACCCATCAAACTGCCATTCATCCAGCTGCAGCTCCAAGCAAAGTCTGGTTCTGATTCTAGACTTTTGGTTTCATGTAGCCCCAGGACGGCCAAAATTGCCCTGAAAGATCTTCAGTCTTCAAGATTCTGATGATAAAGTGACAAGCCGATGGGGATTTAGTAGTGCAGGTTGCTGTCTGCAATGTCAGAGAGCTCTGTGGATCCTAGACTGAAACTGACCGTGAGTTCAACCAATAACCCGGATGCTGTTTACAGAGTTCACTCGCTTGAGACTGCAGACCACGACAGGGGAACTTCAGACAAGAATGTGCCAACTCAGACTCTAAGGATTGACCTGGAACTAGAGGAAACTCAGGGACACACCCCTTGGGCTTTGCTGATAAACTCCTCCTCTTGGATCTGCCCTGAGCTAATAAGCAGCCTGACAGTTTGAACTCAGTGATATCGTACTGTAGTGTGGCCATGTTCAGAGGCTAATACTTCTTAGCAAAGGGATAGAGACAATTTCTGTGGTCACCTTAAACTTTAAAATAAAGTAAAATTGTACATATCAAAACTAAAACAGCTTTGCTGAATAGCTAGCAACCAAGTGTGTCCTGAATCTCAAGGGCATCTCAACAACAGTTTGACTGTAAATAGTTAGGATATTGATGTAACCCACTTATAATAGGTCATTAAGTACATCTAGTTTAATATTTGTCAAATTAAGTATGTCTCCTGGATGTCTGGAACCTGGTTTACTGTAAAATTCCAGTTTTCAAGGTCCTCTTGAAGTCAATGATCCATTACTGAGCTATGCATTTTTATCACTTGGTTAAGGAGATGTACCTTTTACCCTTAAAATACGATAGAGAAGAGAAAGAAATAAAAAGTGGTTGACATTGTTCAGTGTATCAGAGAAAATGTGTTTTACATTGGCAATTTCTTTTTCCAATTCCATAACTTTATTCATTTCCAAAGAAAGCTGTTTTTCATCGACAGGCAGTCCCTTTTCCTGACGAATCAATTTGGCCACAGAAATCATAAAATCCACATATGCTGTACAAGCCTGCAAGAAATAAATGACAGTACATTGCTGAAGAACCTTCCAAATGTTCATCACGGCGCTTTAACTTAAAACTTATTTTCAATTCAGTATTAATTTTTGGTGACAGATAAAGCACAACAAAATAGAAATCCATTCCTGAATCCTAAAAGAAATGACCTGTACAGATTCTCAGAAAGTCAATGTGTCTTTGAATTATAGCAGAACAATAAAGGACTCTGAAAGTACTAAGTAACTTATAACCATTTGGTTATGGAGATTTTATAACTTTCAACTTTTAATCAAACAAATTGCTTTAATAAGAATGCAGATGCAAAACATTTGGTAAGCAATAACCTAGTATTTTTTTCTTAAATAATAAATTCTTTTGCCAAATTTCCTTTTAACAGGTTTTCTCTGCACACACATATATATATATTTCAACTATCCATAAAGAGATGGCCACAAACATATTACATTATCAGGACATCTTTTATCTGTCTTCTCCGGCCAAGCAGTAATTTTTTTTTTTTTTAATGAGAATGCATTCTCATGAGCTCCTCCAACACAAATCTGTGGGTTTTAGTTAATTCCAAAGCTGGCTGTCATTACTGTGAAATTTCTAAGATACTATAGATTTGAATATCAGCTTTCTTCTGAGAACTCAAATTCTTTCCATTTTATCTTCACACACATTTTAACTTTATGAAGATAAGCTATAAACTAGTTTTATTATTGACCTTTTATAGAATATATAAATACCTATTCAAGTTCAGAGTGGCACTGAACCCAGGAAATTTAATACCACTTTCATAACATTGCTATTTAGCTATTATTTTCTATCAGCAGTTAAAATCAATTATGATCCCACCACATTCAAATTTATTCAAAATTCAAGTCCCAGCACCAGTTTGGCGACACGCAGATGACCACGATTAGGAAAGCCATGCCACACAAGTTTGGGATCGATGGGTAGTTCTATGCTTCACAGGGTAAATATGAAGGAAAGCTGTAGAGTGCTTAACAATTCCACACTTTCAAGGGGCGTTTACAACCCTACTAATTGATTATCAGTGAAAGGGGCACCCTTCTAGTCACTGTGAGTGCAAAGGCACATCTATATTCACAGTGACTCATTAAGACGATCAAACATAAAACTTATAGGGAAATTGAAAATATTTTATCAAGCAAGAACCTAAGCAAAATGTACAAAGTCATTATTAATTTGAAATTCAAGAGGACACCTTTAGATACTGGCATTCCATGACCTTTACTAAATGCTAAGTAAACAATTTCCCAGGGAGAGGGCTCTCTCTTTCAAGGATACCCAGAGATTGTGAGCCTGTCTCGCTGGCATCTCTATCCCTGGATCTGCTACTCAATAGAACAAACTATTTTTCAGCCATGTGTCTGTATTAAAAACCAAATCACTAAGGTAACAGGTATAAAAGGATGTTTTTATGTATATTCTTGCCAACTCCATTCTTTTCCTATTAAAAAGTAATCAGAGTTCTTGTTTCACTTTGAAGAAAACAAATATGTCTGAGTTCATACCTCATGGGACCAACTATTCCAAAGTACAAGCACGCAGTGGTCTGAGTTAACTGCATTTCAAATCATATAAATTTATCTGCATTCAGCAGGGAATTACTACTGACTATGAAGGAAATGGTAATTTAAATTTTCCGGTATCAATCTACTGAGATTTTTTTTTTACTCTGTGGGATGCTTTTTCATTAATGAGGTGAGGAAACAATAATAAGAGTGTTCTCCTCCATTTCGTTGACTCTGCAAACTGGTTTTAACTCCAGTATCTTTATCCTTACAGATCTATTTAAAGACTATAGAATTTGGCAAGCAGAAGAACTTTGGAAAATGCTTCTAGTCTTCTGAGCTGGTAAAGTTCCCCAGAAAACTGGAAGCATATTATACCATGAACTTCTGAGATGCTTGAATACTTAATACACTTACATGGACTACACTTACTTCCTTTAATGAGCTCCACTGCCTGGCAACCTATTACAGTGTGACTGATTAAAACATGTCTTAGTATCTTGGTTATCTTTCCTGGCTTCCAAATTTATCTAGTAGCTGTCAGAACCCAGGCTTACTGCTGCTGTTACATCCTTTCTACAAGATATGATTCTACCTTAAGGTATTGATTTTCTTCCTTGAGAAACTTCTAGATTTTTAAAATGCCAAATAATAGCAATTGTCATAATTTGGCGAAAAAGTAATCAACACATATTTTGACATTTAAAAAGTACATTGGCCAGGATATTTTTTAAATCAGATGTCAGTTTTTCTTTTCTGTCACTAAGAGAGCAACTAGTTATTACGATAAGGGTCAGAGGCAGCTACCTTTTTCGACAGTCGTAAGGTAGCCTAGTTGAAGCTTTGATACAGTGAATCCTTTATATGACAAAACAAAAACAAAAACAAAAACAAACGAAAAAAACCCCAAAACCTAAATGTCTATGTAGTCCTTCCTTTAAAAATAAAACACTGCAAATCCTAACGCTTATAATAGCAGGTTCAAAGATGCTAACCGGTTTTAAATGGTTGGGTAAAATCCCTAATTGCAGTTTTGTGAGCTTTTAAATTACACACTATTGGTGAGATGATATTTACCGGTACCCAACACCATGAATTGTTACTCTAATTAGGACTATCTTCATATTGCAGGACCAGGCAATAATATTTATATATTGGCTCTGTTCAGAAGTTGGACTTCTCCTGCTTAGAAAAAAGCTGATATTTGTTAGAGTTGCCAAAGAGCAAGAGAGTGATGCCATTCTGCTATTGCCCTTCATACTTGGTATCTTTGTTAATAAGTAACAGCAAGTCCCAGGGAGGAACAGAGAGCTCTCTGGACGGGTTGGCCAATATTTGTGTACCTTGGTGTGCCAACAACTATGGACCAGAGGTTTCACTTTGAAAGATTCTGTTCCGGGACACCTAGCTCTTACCAATTTTCTGCCCTTCCCTTTCCAAGACATAATGTGGAGCATGAAGTGACTGAAAAGTCACACAACTGTCTTATTCCTAGCCACTGATGCTGGTGGTGTTATTTAACAGTGTTACACAGAAAAGTTTCCAGAGGGAACACACAGGGGCCCCCAGCATGAGAGAGATGCTTCCTCTCAGAAGGCTTGGAATTTTCTCCCACTTGAAGCAGCATGTCAGGGATCATGCAGCTGCCAGGACACAGAGGCTCACTCCCCAAAGATGGGCACAGACACAGAGAATCACGCAGCCATTCCTGGGGACAGGAAGTGAGAAACAGCCCCCAATCCTAGCAGGGCTCTGGAGTAGGAGAAACACAGGATACAAGAGGATCCACTATGGACCAGCATGGGGACTGGTGGGGGCTTTCATCAAGTTATTAACGAGAGAGCCTCCAGATTCATATGAGAACTTACTGTGTAACTTCTAAGGTTTGTTGCATATGTTTGGGAAGGTGCATGTAGTTCTTTGTACAAACTGAGTTCAGTTGATCTAAAAAATTTCTTTTGTCATATCCAGGAAGTCCCAAGTTCAAAAGCTCCTTTACATTTTGTGGACTGGGTGAAACCTCCTGACTATTAGTCACCTGGTGCCCAGAAAGTACAAAATGAGGTCAGCCGTTTCCTTTGCAGGATCCATTTTACCAAGTCAACCAAGCAGGAGTCACAGCAATCTTTTTAAAAACCAAATCAAATCACATTTAAATTATCCACTGACCCCTACCCCCAGTCATTCACCTTGTATCATATCATCCAGTTTTATTTCTTTTATAACACTATCTCCATTTATCTTATTTCTTTAATTTATTTACTTGTTTCTTTATCATCTATCTCCTCCGATTAGAACATGAGTTCCATGTGAATAAGGACCATTTCTGCCTTGTTTCCTTGGTATCCTTACTGCCTAGAAAAGCATCTGTCACATAGTAGAAGCTCAATAAAAATAAAGTTAAATTGTAAGTATATTGAGTAAGTTTCCCTCACCTCCTATGTCATCAGATTTCTAATCGCAGTCCAAGTCCGGAGCAGTTTCTCTGAGCTTGTATTTTGGGTAAGTGGGCAAACAAAATCCTCTCTAGGTTTACCCTCAGTTCCAATACGTGCTCATCTAAAGGACTGCAAAACTCAGCTTGTGCTCTTTCCAGAGCAGGTACAGCTTAGAGAATTTCCCTGGACTGTGTTTTATTTAGTACACAGGCCCCGGATCACCTCTTTTTTAGCTTCTAACCATCCTGGCCATATTCCAAGTCCTCTATCTTCATCCCTGAAATGTTTCCCTTTTTTTTTTTTTTTTTTTTAATGAACATCAAATTTTTCTAAGTGCTCTAAATTTCTTCATGACTCTGGCCTCCTCCACCCCTGCCAGGCCCCATAGCATTATACTATATAGCTTCTAATCTCCAACTCCTTTGTTACCTCCTAGGGCTCTCATTTGCTAGATCAGTGGTTTTCTCACTTTTCTTTTAGTCCTGAGATGCTCTGTTCAAACAATGTTTTGTTAATGTATAAATAAGTAAAATGAATCTTGAAGAATGTAAACATGAAGGTGTGGCTACACAGAGCACTGTCACTGGCACACACAAAGTGGTCCTTAGGTTCAGAAACCACTACCCTGGCTAATTCGACCTTTCAGACAGACACAGAACATAAACATATCTGTGATCCAATTATGCTCAAATATTTTGGGTACCTAACCTGCAGATTTCTTATGAAGGAGGACAAGGCAGCAATCAGCCTTGAAAAGCTAAAGAGGTAGAGAAAGGGAAACTTTGAGACCAATTCCAATTCATCCCCATAGAGTTCAGAGACTCTTCTGGAGGTGGTGATTTTTCAAGAAAATTAAGGTTGTCATTCCTTTCAGTGAATCAATAAGCAAGAGCTTTCTCACATCAAATAGTTGGTTGGTTCCATTTTAAAATTCCATGAATGGGATGATTATTTTTTATGGGCAATATGTATCTTTCATATTGTTTTCCTAGCATAGAAATGTATACTCTTGTATGGGATAGGATTGTTTCAAATCTCACTACTTCTGTCCTTTGAGGTAGCAATGTGTCATTAAAAGTGATCTCTTCAGATAATCAGAATACCTCAGAAATAAGGTTCTATCTCTTTAACAAGAGACATCCAGCATGAGTGGCTCCTTGACGAACCCATTTTGAGAACAGTTTCTTCTGCCACGACATTTAGGAAGTTCTATTTATTTCCTGGGAAAGGACACTTTATACAACGAGGTGCCATACAGATAAATCCCAATTTTTTAAATAAATGTATGTATTTGTTCAGTATTTATACAGATGGCTATGTGGCCTTCTGCCTAATATTTGGCCTATAGAACACTGTGTTATTTTTTTTTGTAACATCGTTATTGGAGTATAGCTGCTTTACCATGGTGTGTTAGTTTCTGCTATATAGCAAAGTGAACCAGCTATGCATATACATATATCCCCGTATCTCCTCCCTCTTGTGTCTCCCTCCCAGCCTCCCTATCCCACCCCTCTAGGTGGTCACACAGCACCGAGCTGATCTCCCTGTGCTATGCAGCTGCTTCCCACTAGCTATCTATTTCACATTTGGTAGGAACACTGTGTTATTAAATTTACATTATAAACTCCTGGAAAAAGAGTGTTTATGTAGTCTTGTTTGGCACCTTGTGTCATCCACATGAGCTGGCTTAATTCATAATTTTAAATGAGATTTGCTCTCCAGGTTTTTCTGTAGAAATAGCACCATAGAGAAGGAAAGATAGATTGGGAACCAGGAGACAGGATCATGATGAGGAGGGCTATAGTAGCTATTTCTCCTCATCTGCTCATAACAGAACCCTCTATTCTCTTTCCTCTTGGTGGAACTATCGATCAAGGAGTCTCCCTTCCTGAGCTGTAGAGATGGATTGGCAGTACCAACTACCTAATCAGAGAGCCCAGTTCCCTGGACACAGTGATTGGTCAAGAGAAGGGCAGGTGGCTCAAGCAGGAACAATCAGAGTCCTTTCCTCAGAAACTGATAGGAATAAGAGAGATTTTTTTTTTTTGGATTGTAAGGCTTTTTTCTGGATTGTAAGGCTTTTTTCTGGATTGTAAGGCTGCCAGAGATCATCTCTGATGTTACAATGGAGAAAGCCTGCTAGAGAAGGACTCCAACACAGAAGAAAGTAGCACCTTGAGAACAGGAAAAGAGATAAGATGGTTCAGTTGAACCCCTGGAACCAACCATGCCTGATTCATCCCTAGAACTTTACATTTAGGTGTGACAAACAGAAAACATTTTTTTTTTTAAACAGAATTTAAGTTAGAGTAGGTTTCCATGGCTTACAATTAATGTTCCTGACACATGGATCTTCTAGTCCATGACTTAAGCAAATCATTTTACTTATTTGGGTCTCTGTTTTCTCATTTGTAAAATGAGGGGTTGAACTAAATTCTCTAATGTCCCATTTAGCTCTTAAAGTCTGTGCATAAGTAACCTTAATTAGTAAGAAAACATACCATTCTGCCATGTAAAAAATTTAAGAATATATATATTTGAGTTTCTATTGCCTTAAGGCCTGTTCTCTCTTTAGGAAGGAAAGTACAGGAAACAAAAAGGAACTGAGGTATTTAAGTTTAAAACAATAACCAGAGGAATACAATATGCATTTCTCAAAATATAATCTAATCTAAAATTAAAAAAAAAAACAAAAACAGCCACAGGTTAAACAAAATGCTTCCATATGACCCACGCCTATGAAAGACAGCTCTAGATTATGACTTTTTCTCGATTATGAGATAGCGTTGAATATAAAATGCACAAATACACCATCATCTTAACAACAGGATCCTTTCCAAACGAAAAAAAACAAAAAAGAAACTTTACCACATTAAATGTATACACTAACTGCCGGGTATACTTTGATATCAGGAATGTTAAAATACAAAAAGAAAATACATCTTTTTAGGATTGGACAAATTTGCTATGTTTTTAGGACAAAATCCTAAATTTGAAAAACATCCTAGTTGATGACAATGAAAATGTAGTATAATGAGCCAAAATTCTTCAATCACCCTCAACTCTGCAATAGGAAGCAGCTAGACAGCTCATAAAGCCAATAGCTGCAACCCACACAATACCTGTAATGAACTCAAATATCCCATACCCATTTGATTGTCTGTGTTATTAACTGTGGACTTTTACAATATATCTTTTCCTTCATTTCAATGCTGTGTAGCCACTCAAAAAGATACTTTAAATGAATTTATTCCATGCTATTTTGAATTTAATAATGAGGCAAAATGCACACTCAGTATAAACATATAAAGCTAATAATTTTAATTAAGAAGTAATTTCAGCCACACCACCATTGTGACCCATTAGAATAATCAAAGGTAAACTTAACTTACTTCTGAGCTACAAAATAATGAGGAAAACATTTATGGAACCAACACCTTCCCCAAATATCTAATAATATATTACACTGCTACATTTATCATCTATGGTTCCTTTATATCAAGAAGCAAAAGCACATCAACACCAGCTTGAGGGAGGCAAGGCTGTGAGGCAAAGCGAAGCAGTTCTGTGGGGTATGATGAATGTTAGAATCAGAAGGTGACTGCAAAGTTTTGTCTGAACCCAATGCCCCTATCTGGGTAGTCCTCTGAAAGTCAAATCAGAAGGCTCTAGAAGAGTGCTACAGAGTATGATGTGTCTGATACTGGACCATTCCCTGGTCCTCACTGGCACTGACCTAGACCATGATTAACCTGTTCATTTTTTAAATGATCAAATTTATAGAGAAAATAAAACATTTAAAATTGACTTTTCAAAATGGGTCACGTGACTTAAGTACGAAGATCAAGACACGAACAAGGAATTTCAAGTTTCTTTGTTTCTTAGTTTAGAATATTCATTCAGTCAAAGGAAGCTCATTATTATGTGTGATTTTCAGTATCTGCCTGAGTGAAGGACATAGAGCGTTAAGTTTAAATTCTGTAGTTTCATTTTATTTTGTTGGATTTTTGTTTCTGTTTTTACCTCTTTATATATTCCAGTGCATTCATAGTAGTCTCTGGAAGGCAGGCCAAGTCGAGGCTGGTCAATCTATACAAAAATATGCGAAGAAGAAAATAAAGTATTCAGTTGATATAGAACAGTTGGACAAATTACAAGCACGCCTATCTATGTATGAGCAAGATCCTAGTGTTCTAGCAAATGTAAAATCGATAGCTAGTGGGAAGCAGCCGCACAGCACAGGGAGATCAGCTTGGTGCTTTGTGACCGCCTGGAGGGGTGGGATAGGGAGGGTAGGAGGGAGGGAGATGCAAGAGGGAGGGGATATGGGGATATATGTATATGTATAGCTGATTCACTTTGTTATCAAGCAGAAACTAACACACCACTGTAAAGCAATTATACTCCAATAAAGATGTTAAAAAAAAAAAAAGATCCTAGTGTTCTTGTTCTTTATAAGGGTAACAAGCAGACACTGGGTGAATACATAGGAAATGGTTTCCACGCTACTGCTTCCAAGTGTTAAACTGATGGGTAGCTAGATAATCTGGAAGTCTGTGCTGCAGATATTTGAGAAAAACCAAAGAAATCTTGAACAACAACAACAAAAAAAACACATGGGGAAGGATTTTTAATGCATAACAAAGGGGGAGGTGAACAAATACATGTTAGAATCTAGGACTAGGGAGAATTATACTTTTACAGGGCACTTTGGCTTCCTGAGATTCTACTATGCTCCCCTGAGGGACATTCTCTTCTACCCCCACCCTTAATTGGGACAGAAAAAAAAAAAAAAAAGGTGGAAAACCTCTATGGTAAGTCAAGAAATTCTAAGCTAGCAGAAATCTTGATTATTTTGAGATCCTCTACCCTAAGGACATAGAGGAGATTCCTCCTCAGTTCTCTCCAAAGCTGTCCTGCTCAGGACGCCAGCAGACCCAGCTGCCAGCTAAGTGTGTGAAAGAGGTAACTCATCTCGGTTCTAGTGTGTCCAGTCCACCTTGGATACCTAGCAAAAACTTGTGGACATACTTGCGGCTTTGTGAGAGTCCCTCTTACGCGCCGCACGGTAAGATGGATAAGGTAAACTAGAGCATTTATGGGTGAGAGTGAGAATCCTAGCAGCTGTAAAGAGCCAGGCCAATACAAAAGAAACAGAACCCAGAGGACTGGTAAGGAAAGAGCCAGAAGGCATCCCCACGGGAAGAGCCCTGCCCCTTCTTCAACCTCCTGACCCTCCTTAGGAAACCCCCTCATGGCGATCATGCAGGATACTGGCACTTGAGAGCCAAAGGAGAGGATGTAGGAAGAGAGAACAGGGTCCACTGTAGGCAAGAGTTGGGTTCAGTCTCTTTCATGATTTTAATAAAAATGACTATAAAGATTTATGCAACAGTGACATAATTATGCTTCTGTGACCTGCAACTTTTGGTTAGTTTCTTTTACAGGAGACTAAATAAAAGTCCCTAGATGTTTCACTCTATTCCGAACATACTCAGTTAAGTAAATCTCGTCCTAGGTAAACCTAAATGAGTGGCTTACACTTTAAAAAAATCAAATAAAGCCATTTAAAAAGAATGGGATTCTGTTTACCTTAATTGAGAAAAAAGTACAGACATTCTTTAGCAAGAACCAAAATTGTGTTAAAAATCCCATTTCTATGATCTTTTTGGAATCAATTAGGAATTTCTAATTTCTGACCTGTATTACTTATGTAAACCAGACCATGCTCCTTTCCTGAACATACAGAGAAATCAGGTGCTCTTTCTAAACAGGAGAGACCTGAAGTCTTTCCTTTCTTATCATTTGTTTTTATAAAGGGAGAGGTATCTAAAACAAAGGTAGAAGGAAGGAGAGTTGAATGTCTAAAACACAGCATCAAGAAAACACTTTCAAAACTGGGAATCCAGGCATCTGTCCTTGAACTTATTACCACCTTGCTCATGCAATTCAAATGAGAATATGCATTATTTCTAAATATCAATAACAACAACGTGTGTGGAAGTTTTACTGCAATTTAAAGTAACTTTGGCTGTTGGCCACACAAACTTACATGAATTACATGGTTCATAGAGTTTTTATCATCAGTGCCAACAAAAAAATTAATAATGACTTTTTTCCCATATTTAGAATTCAGCTGTGCAATAGATTTCTCAGCTGTCCAAGAAGAACCTAAAGCAATGAAAGGTGAAGTATATCATTAGATGCTTTAGTGCATTAATATGATACTGTAATAATAACAGATTTTATATGGAAATAATTTTTTTTTAAAAGAAGGAAAATTGCCTTACCATATGTTTGCTCCCAGTTTTCTGTCACCACTGGCCAATCATATATATCTGGTAACAGTCTGAGCAGAGGATCTCCGCCTCTGCTATCAATAGCAGCTTTTGAAAATAATGAATATAAATATATTATGAAGACTATGCATATTTTGGCATACTCCTAATAAAATAAAATACAGAGCACTTACATTCATTTATACAAGATCTATACAATGTTTTTGCTTTCTGCACTGCGACTATGTCTTCAGTTTTGGGTTCCTGAAGGACATCTGAAATAGGGTATTGATAAAACACATCAGTATAATTGCTTATTTGCAGCTGCAATTAACATTTTCAATGCAGGTTTGGTAAAAAAAAAAAACTTTTGTACATATGTTCACACATCTCCCATTCCAAAACCCTATAGGAAAAACCAAACCCCTTACACCAGATCATTATTCCCGGTGCAGAACTGAGAGTTAGTTTCATCACCCAGCTTAGATGAAAGCCTTTTTGACTAGCTTAGCGTTTTGTGTGTGTGTGTGTGTGAACAGTGATGTGTACTGCTCTACCATAGAGAAGTTACTTTTTTTGAAACTGAGATTAAAAAGAAAACAAATACTACAGAGGAATTTGGAATTTAATGTGATAGTCTTCTTGATGGTTGGAAAATAACTATCTTTGTGTGATAGTACTGTCCATGCTCCAGATGAAATGAATGTACTGTTCTTCTTGTTTGGATATTAGAAAAAAGCAAATTTTTTTTTTTTTTTTTTTTTTTAACAAAGTAACTTCTAAAAGAGGAGAACAGAGAATGGAGGATAGCAAAGGACTAGACACTGCTTTCTCAACTTCCCAGGGAGAGTGTCTTAACTGGGTTAGAACAGATATACGTACTCTGGGAAGGCAAATCTCAGTAACATCTCACAGTGACCTCAACACAGGGCCAGGGTAGAAAGAACATGCAGGTGGTGTTTACTGGCAATAATTTAATTTCTTCTGTAAAATGGCATAAAGATGCCATCTCCAGGGATAATAGAGCTTTATCTTGTGTACCTA